ACTGCTAAACCTTGACATGCACATTACATAACTTGAGTTGAGTTTCGACAACGTGTGCCATGCGCAACAATGGAATATGTAAAGCCCACAAAACTGGGATGATTTTAAGAGTATAATTTGAGAACTAATATAATCTATATATGCTTCATTAAAATGCACAAATAGATAAAATTCTTGTGATCAAGAACATGTGTTTAAAAATAAAATCCCCATAATCGCGATGCCAATGGGTTGGATTGTCCTATTCCGCATAGGTATAGAATTGCACCCACTCATCCTTTGGCGACCCACTAAATGAGCATGTGAAAATCTCAGCGTGTGAGTGTGCGTCAGGACATTCGGGTGTGTATGTGTCTCTCTGTGTGTGTGTGTGTGTGTGTGTGCTCATCAGTGCGCCATACGCTTGCCATATCCTGTGGCATGCATAAAGAAAAGTGTAATAAAATTTGATTTATTGTAGACAAGATTCGAGTTGGATATGCTGCTCTCTCTCTATGTGTGTGTGAGTGTGTGTGTGCATTTCGTATGCTCATTCGCTGCTGCTGCTGCTGCTTACACGCCTGCGTCCTCTTTCGTCTCGCTCTTTGTCCTTCCCCTCGTATGGCAATGGCAGCCATGTCTTCCTCCTGCGCCGAGTCTATCCGGCGAATGAAGCGTCGGAATTCACGTAGCCACCCACATGGCAGCCGGCAACTGGCAACTGGCAACTGGCAACACATGACAACGCTGGCAATGGCGCCTCTGCCGCCCCCAGTGCGACTCATGCATCATTCGTCTAGATATCATCCATCTCGTTGCTGGCGTTTACCTCGGCACATTACCCACACCGGATCCATCGCTCCCACTTCCCCCCTCCGTTCAACCACCACCCCCTTTTGGCATGGCCGCCCTACAATCGCATTCACATTTTCTGACACTTTGCAAAACTTTTGCTGTTCGCACTGCAGGCGCTTGTTGTCCTGCCCCCCGCCGCCTACCCCTGCTGCCTGTTGCCTGCGTCTCCTGCCCAACCGCCTCCTGTCTGTGTGTTAGTCTCATTAGTCCTCTCTGGTGGTGGCTAATGGAAGGCGTTACTTTCAGCTGTCTGCGTATGTTTTTTGCTACGAATTACTAAAATATACTTATTCACATTTATCTCAAGCATTCGTTTTTTTTTCCCAAAACACGTTTTTTCCCCTTGACTTTGACAACAGATCTTAACGACACACGGCTCTAGTTAGAGTCTTTCCAGTTAGTTGCATATTTATGAATGGGTCTGGTCATAGTTAACTCCAGCTAGTCAACTTCAGCTCCAGAGTTATCCTTGAGATATGTCTTATTACTTTCATATTCACAAAAATTACCAAAATAAATATTAAAATAAATTTAAAAACATATATGGGCACATGCAAAATATGTAGGACTTTTCATCTGAAGCCTAGCTTCAAGGTTCCAACAATTGCTAAATAAATGCCAAGAATACATAGAGATCAAATTTAGCCTTTATATTGTATGGGAAAATATGCACGACTTGCAGTATTCTCCGTACAGAAGGCAATCATAAATAGAATAGATAAATAGCTCAATGCTCTAGAGCCAAACCATAGAACCAGGAGATGGTTAGAACTCTGAATCCTGTTTATAAGAATGGAATGCTATAAAAAACAGCAGGTATTAAGATTACAACATTTTCTGCCATGAAATATAACACAAATAGAGGACACAGTATCTTCGACTACGACGTGATGTACTATTATAACATAATGTTCATAATGGTCTGCAGATAACGACTTACCACATGATGTACATGACATTCATTATATGCTATGGCCACAGGTTCTACTACAGCTAATGTTCATCTATGAAATGATGTACTATTATAACGTGATGCAAACAATGTTACTCAGGTGATGTATATCTACTATATGTCACACGACTTCTAAATAAATGCTGTCTTACCAATTGATGTACTACGGATGATGTAAGGCTACTATATTTTGTATTGCAGATGATATACTACTACCACATGTAGTTATTTTACCATGTAATTTGCTAGAGATGATGTACTCTTACTAAATGATGTACTACGGATGATGTAATGATACCGCATGTTCTATTGCTGGTGATGTACGCACCTCTAGATAAATTCATGTTGTGCTGTGTACAAATTTGATACTTTGCTTTCAACGCCTCGAGCGAATTTTGTCACACACACACATATCTAAGCACACTCACACCCACCCGCATCCACACACACTCACACACTCACTTGCTGTGTGAGTGTATAAAGGCGGCAGTTTTGTTGGCTTATCAAACGGGCAAAAAAGTAAACCGTTATTTGCGATGCATGACACTTTTGAGAATTTATGTGTTTGTATCTCATTAAGCGAGACAGAGGCAGCAGCAGCAGCAGGATGGGGAGGAGGAGTAGGGGAAGGAGTTAGCCGGGAGTGGGTCGTGGGAACGTCGGACCAAAGGTGCGGCGTGCGGGGTGCAGAAGCAGGAAAACCACGCGAAACGAGACGTCAATGGAGCCGAACACACCGAACACTGAGGCGGACGGAAAAGTTTTGTGAAACATTTTTGGCCAAAAATTATCTTTTAACACAAATGTGACACCAAATGGCAACAGCCACGCCCCCAGGCGAGGTATATGTGTGTGTGTGTGTGTGTTTGTGTGTGTGTGGTAGGAGGGGGTAGCGGAGCCATCTCCGTTCAAAAACAACACGAAACACATCATAAATTTTAAGTGAAAATGAATCCTTTGGCAATTGAAGTTTTCGAGGAGATTTCGTTGGCGTTTTGGATCGTCATCAGTGTCGCAAAAGATACGAGACACACACACACACATACACTTATGTACATCAAGCAGTAGCGTGTGTGTGTGTGTGTGTGGGTGTGTGTGTGTGTGTGTGTGTGTGTGTGTGTGTGTGGCATCTATGAAGTTCGTATCTGGGCGTCGCGTCTTAATCCTTTGTTGGCCATAAATCAGCGAATCGCGTTCACATTTTGCGCATGTTCCTGTTCTTACCCCCCTTGCGACCCACCCCTTGTACCAGCCCATCGCCACAACTCCACCCCCTGCCACAGTCCTAGCTACATGTGCCCCATAATTCAGGTTTAATTAACTCGCCGTGTTTATTAGCAAATATTAGTTTACAATTTGATATGCCATGTCTGCAATCCACAATTAACTGGCATTTGGCCAGGTCTGAACCTAGTCAGCAGGAGTGTATCATTGGGGCTACCACTGGGAGAGTCCAGTGAAGAATGGGGGTCAATAGAACTAGAACTGAATGGGACTAAGGTAGGCCTAACAATAAGGCTTACAATAGTTAATAAAAAGTATTTAGAAATTCAAAAATGTTGCAAAATGTTCAACTAAAAACAAGCAACAATTTATCTGTCCACTTATAATATATATGAAATATCCATAAAAGAAGTTGAAGCTCATGCATTACAATTTTGACCATTACAGATGTAAAACTGTAAAAGACTTAGCTTCTTTTTTTTTGGCACGCCCCCAGCCACACATCACAACACTTTAATGTTCATTATTAAACAAGCTTTTGTTTGGTTGAAATAAAGTTTGTAAAGTCGATTCTGATTCATACAAAAATAAACATTCGTTACTCTATGGTCGAATATGTTCTTTTATTCGCGTATAAAACGTTTTTAATGGAACATATGTGCGTATGTTCCTTTCCACTGTTCCCCTAATTAAAACTCATTGAAAATAATTATTAGAGCAAATATTCTAAAAGTAATGTTGTATGTCAGCTTACCTTTCATTAAATCAATAGTTTCAAGTATAATTCCACATGCATTCATTTGTGAAAATTAAAACTGAAAATAAAATAAATAAATATAAATATATGCATATATATAAATATATATATATTTTTGAAAAATGCTTGAACACAGTAAGCAGAACAGCCTTAATTTTATTCAAAGTCAATATTGCAAAATTAAATAAACGTATTAATAGAATTAATAATCGAAAAATATATTGATACGCCCCCTTAAGGCTCCCGATGTAAGCCCAAACTGAAATCCAATTTCTAAAATATTTTGTTTTTAATTTCGCAAAACCTTTAATTTCCCTTTAATTTTGAAAATTTTCCAAGCCGTTTTTGAAAATGAATGTATTTACATTGAAAATCAAAGAGAAAATTTTCAAAAAGTCCAGAAATATTTTGAATATCATATAAATTTCCATTAAGCTCAAATCCCCCCGGATGTGAGACTTGAGTGAAATGTAAACTCAAAAAAATGTTTAATTTTGAAACATACAACTTTTTATTGAACTCATCTTCTGCATTGAGCCGTTTGCTTTTGGTAACTTTAGATTTGAATTTGAAGATATAGATACAGCTATATGTGAGCCACTTTTTTCGAAATTTTTTGAGAAATACATTTGAATTAACCGTTTGCTGTTTGGGATTTTGAAATATTATTTTTTATTGCATGTCGTTTAACTAACTTATGATCTTATGATCTAGGCGAAAAGGAAGCGAAAGGAGTTTTAAAAATAATATCACAAAAACTCAAATACAAGTCGTATACGTACATATATATCATTCATAGGTATATAATAAGTAAATTTATAAATTAGTTTCTGGTTGCTGATGATGTTCTTCTTCTTCTTGAGATGACGATGAAATGTTTGACATTTTTTAAGTTTCTTTTCTCTTGTTTTTTTTTTTTTTTTTGGAAGTCTTAGGTTTAATCTTAGGTTAAATACATATTTATATATATTTATATATATAGTTTGTTGTTATTGTTGAGAGTTGAGTTGTAAACATATATATTAGTATTTATATATGTGTATATAATTTGCTTTCAAGTAGTTTTTATATATATGTTCATATAGTTAAGTATATTTGTATAATTTATGCGTATACATGGGTTGCCGTGATTACATTTTGATTTGACTTCAATTGTTAGTAATTAATTAATAATATATATATATATATATATATATATATATATATATATATATATATATATTGATTTTTTGGAAGGAAGTGCTAATTACTAAGTTTATTTACATTAAACTATTGAATGCGTATTTCAAATTGCCACCCTAACTGTTGCCTCTTGGCTTGGTATACAATCATTTTCAAAGGAACAAAAATACAATTTAAAAATTAGTTTTCTTTTTTCGAGAGAAAGTTTTGGTTTTTCAAGATTTTACGTATACTGCGTTGCATTTTTGTAATTACTTAATTTTAATTAATTAATTTTGTTTTATTTTTGTTTTTTGTTTTTTTTTTTTTTTTGTAGTTTTTGGCACACATTTTGACCAGGAACCGCGAAAAATGATTTCGATTTGCAATATCTTTTGAGCCAACAAAATGCACTCAATGAATTTGCTCTCTGCGCTCAGACCGGTTTCGATTCCACTCAATAATACCCCCACCCACTTGAGCGTTCTTATTGTTGTTTTGCTGCCGTTGCTCCATCCAATCGCATGGGTCAGCATGGTTTGCTTTTGTGTTTTGTTTTTGCTGCTGCTCGCTTGCTTTGTGTGTTTGTTTTTCATTTTGACGAACTGTTGTCGTCGCCTTTCGTCAAACTACTGCGCACACTACAGCCGTCTCGCTCTTTAGCACGCCTGCAATTGCACTGCACTGTTAATGCGAGTCAGTCTGCATGTGTGTGTGCGTCTGTGTCTGTGCTCTTTGATGGACAGCAGTTCGTCAAAGTGGTGGTAATTGAATTTTGCACGCCTCTCGCGCGTGCGAATGCGATGGCAAGCTGTGCGATTTGGCAAACAATAAAACTGGGCAAACTGAGACGTCAGCGCCGTGACGTCACACACTACTACCCCAGACAGTTAGCATGGGGCAAATACACAGACTTGGGGAAATGTTGCCGCCAATTCAGCAAAGTAGGGGAAATGCGGCTGCAGAGAGCGATAAAATGCGAGAGCGTGTGAGCGAGTGAGAGAGAGCGAGAGCGAGAGCTAAATTATCTGCAGACTTGATTCGTTCTCTTTGATCGGAATCAATGCAGAGCTCTGCGTAAGAGTTTCAGCTGAAGCATCGATTACACTATGCAACACAATTAAGAACAATTAACACTTCTAGTTTTTTTTGTTGCATAGCGTAAGTTGACCTCTCCCCCCCCCCCCTCCATTGCTTACGTTTAGGCATTCTTGGAGGACAGCTGTTTGGCCAGCTCCGTGTATTTGAGAAACTTCGACTGCGGACTCTCGTCGTAAGGCGAGGGCGACATCTGCGGCTGCAGCTGCGGGGGTGCAGCTGGCGTTGCCGGACTGCGCGAGGCCGAACGTTTGGGCGAAGCCAGCGGCAGCGACTTGGGCGACTGCGCGGCTGCCGGCGACTTCAGCGGCGGCGAATCCTCGCCGGCGTCCTTCACGAAGTGCACCTTGGACAGATGATGGCGATAGGCGCCCTTGGAGCCGAACGGCGTATCACAGAACGAGCACTTGATGATGGCGTCCGCCCCGGCGCCGGCGCTCAGCACCGCCTCGTTGCACGCCCAACTGAAGGCGACCAGGTCGCTGCCGTTGCCCAGCCCGGCAACCGTGGAAGATGCGGATGCACTTCGCGTATTTGAGGCCGGCGGATCTGTTGTCTCGCAGAGTTTCTGCAGGGCGGCCAAGGGGTGAGCCTTTGGCTTCTTCGCGCTGGCATTCGCATTGCTGTTGTTGTTATTGTTATTGTTGTTGTTGTTGTTGAAGCAATGTCCTGAAAAAATGGGTGAGTAGTACGTATAAAGGTGATTAGTGTGGAATACAATATGGAAGGGGGCGGGAGGGGGGTAAATTTAAGACTATGTCTATATTTTAAAGTGAGCTAAAGGTGATGACCTCAGAGATCTGCTGTAGTCCAGTCTAAGGCAACAGTTCCTCATTAGCCAATTTGAGTTCCTTTGCTTCCACTGATTATTGCGGAATAAGCGTGGAATTAAGGAGTTATGTAGCAATAAACAGCTTCCCTATGCTGCTGACATATTTTATAAATATCGGATCACTTTATATTTCAGGGAAATCATAAAAGAATGACCTCTCTGAAGTCCAATGGAGCATCCAATGTTTTAACAGTGATGTACCATGATGAAGGTCCTTATTTGGGAATCGGTTAAATCCTTTTGAAAAATTAGATTTTTCTTTTAACTCTACAGAAGGAGTAGGGAGTGTTTTCTTCAGTTTGGCTTGACTCGAAGTTCATCAATTTGATCTCCCTGTTTTAGCCTTAAGGCATCCTTTAGACTGGCTCCATTGCTGCCCTCTAAATTCCTCTTTAAATTCGTCTGAAAAATCCATAGGTTTGGCTACAGCTCGTATAACCCAAAGGGTTGTTAATCTGATGAAGGAATTTTGGTTCCATGGCATAAGCTGATGGGACACGTATCTAAAGAAATCCTTTGTCTGCAATGCCTCTCATAATGGAGAGAATCTATTCGTAGCCCCACAATCTGTCGATCCCGTGCACTTTCCCTGTCAAGTCCCTGCATACCTGTATTATTGTTGTTGGTCTCGACGCTGCTCAGCTGATCGAACATGGAGTTAAGGGCGAGGAGGCTGCCGCTCTCGGCTAGCGTAGTGCTCTGGACAGGCGGCGAGTTGTTGGACCGTTCGCTGCCGGCACTGGGACTCTCGCGGGGATTGCCCGTGGCATGTTCCATGCTGAACTCCTTCTTCACATTGATCAGATGCCGGCTGGTGGGCTCCAGCTCGCCGGCCTCCGGCTCCAGGGGCTCCGACTTGATGATGGTGGTGCTGCTGCTGCTGGGCGGTGGTGGTAGCGAGGGCGTGGCCACAGTAACCGAAGAGGCCGGCGTGTCAGGCGTGCGTCGAGGCGTAGCCTGCTGCCTGTCCGGCGTGTAGGCGGACTCCACGCGACTGGCGGAGCTCGACTCGCTGGCGCTGCGATCCCGCGTGGCATACGTGGAGCGCAGCAGCTGCATCTGCATGGCCTGCGCATCCATCAAGGGTTTCGTGTAGTCGCTGCTGTCGTCGATGCCCAGACGCTTCAGTATGCTGGCGCCCAGCGGCGTTCCAGTCTCCGGATAGCCCGGCGCCAACCGACCCATTCGTGACTCGAAGCTCTTCTCGATCAGCTGCTCGAGCGCATTCAGCACGGAGGGTGCTCCCGAGCTGCTGCTTGGCTTCTCCGATATGCTGGGACTGGCCAGACGCTGGTGCGGATGCTGCTCCTGTGCTGGCGGCCTGCGGGGCGGTATGGGTATGCTGTCGCCGAGGCATTTGCGTATATGCTCCACGAATAGCGCGGTCTCGATCTTGCTGCCGCACTTTTCGCACGTGATCTTCGTGGCGGCCGCAAAGTCGCGCAGCGGCTTCAGCGCCGAGTCTAGCCCGGCGCCGCTGCCGGAGCGCTCCAGCTCCAGGAGTTTGCGCACTGGCAGCGATTTTTTGCGCTTCTCGTTGCGCGGCTGACGGCCGCGTTTCGAGCTCAGCGCCGCGGCAGAGCCGGATGGCGGCGCTGGCGGCGATGAGGAGCAGCTGGAGGCCGTGTCCTTGTAGTGCGACTGCTGCGCCATGTGGGCGCTCAGCTCCTTGAGCGTGGCGAACGCCTGGTCGCATACCTTGCACGTCAACACGGCGCTGACACTGGTCGCAGTGGGCGTGGCACTGCTGCTGCTGCCGCCGCCCTGACCCTGGCCCTGGTTGCCATTGGTTGGGCGCTCGTCGCCGGACTTCCAGGAGATGATCTGCTCCTGCGATATGATATTGGTATAGTGCTGCGTCTCCTGCATGTGGCTGGTCATTTCCGCCAGCGACCTAAAGCTCTGGCCACACCACATGCACTTGAGGATCTGGCGCGTCTGCTCGGCGCCCTTGCCCAGCCAGACATCCTGGCCGCGCACCAGCTTCCTGGGCAGCGGCATTGTCTCCTTGATGAGCATGTTCAGCTCGGACTTGGACGAGCTGGAGGAGGTCGAGCTGCTGCTGGAGCAGTTCGAGGTCGTTGTGGACGTCGCATTGGTGGTGCGCGTTGCCGCCTGGCTAAGGCCCGCCGAGGGCGAGGGCACCTGGACGCCGCAGTGCTGCGTTTCCTTCATGTGCGTGGTGAGCAGCGCCAGCGTCGCGAAGCTCTGCTTGCACCACACGCACTTGAACACATCCTTGGCCGCATCCGCACCCTTGTTCAGCCAGTGCGATTGCCAGGCGCTGTGCCGGCCGCCACCGCCTCCGCCTCCAGTCACAGATGTGACACCTCCACCAGTTCCTCCGCCGCCACCGCCACCTCCACCGCTGGCTCCTCTGCTTGGCGGCGGTGTCTCCAGGCGACTCATCTCGCTCATCTTCTCCAGCGCCTTGCTCGCCTCGCTGGGCGCCATTTTGCCGCTCAGCCCGGACTTGGCCGCCACGGCAGCCAGGTAGGGATTGATGGGTGGCACCCAGCTGCCTGGCGGCAGCGGGGATTTGTAGTCTGTGCCACGTGGCAGCTTGCGCGCCGGCGTGTCCTGCTCGATGCTCGGCGTTTGGCGCTTGCGCGTGCTCACGGATAAGTCCAGAGGCGCCGACTCCTGATCCGGCTGATCCTGTTCCTGATCCTCGTCGCTGGCCGTCGCCTCGCAATCGCTGGGCGTGCGCTTCCGGCTAAAGTCCAAGGCGGGCGCCTCCTCCTCCAGCGCATGGCCGCCCGGCGAGGCGGCCTGCTGTGTGGCCTGCTGCACCAGCGAAGCGGCCGCCGCCAACGGATTGGTCAGCAGCAGGTGATTCTGTTGCGCGGCCGCCAGGTAAGCGGCCATCGCTGCCGACTGCGGCGGCAGCAGAGCCGCAGCTGCCGAGGGCGCCAGGGTCGCGGTCAGCGGCAGGCCCACCGGCGAACTGGCTGTGGGCGTGGGCGCCGGGGTCAGGCAATCGTTGGCCGAGCAGTGCGACTCGTTGGACGGGCAGCGGGCGTCTCCAGCGGCCGCCGATGCATTCGATTCCCGCGATTGACAACGCGGACTCGCCAGCTCGCTGGAATATGCAATTCAGAGAGCATATTTTAAAGGAGTTGCTTGTACAAAAAATATGCCTCGGATATGAAACTCAGCGGGAAGCTCTCTTGGAATTTTGTTTGTGAGTGCCATAAAATACTGCCTGCATATAAATCTCTGTTTTTTAATAATTTCGAAAATCTTGAAAAATCAATTAAGCTGTCTAGTAGTTGGTTGACTTAGACTCTGATTTTCTTAACTGCGTATACTTTCTTTTTCGCTGCTTAACGCTTGTAATTCTCAACTAGTTCAAGCTTCGAAGAGGGGACAAGGCATTTGCCATGAAAGTCTGCTTTGATAGAACTGGAAAGTTCTTCAAATAGCTTTCCAGATAACCAGATTTATTTCTGGTTGTTTGCCGGATATTGTTTTTATAAAAACACAACCAATATTGACCTTGAGTCGGCCTTGTTTATTATTAATGAAATTTACTAAAACCATTTGTAGGAAATATTTTAATTTAAGATCAATAATTTGAAGAATTTATAATTGTTTTATAAAGCAGTTAGGGACTTTAAGAAATAATAAATTGGAATCATAGCGGGAATCGAGATGTTCAACTTCAAAATAAAAACTAGTATTTAAACACCTTCAACATTTCTTTTAGTAATCTAATGTAAAAATCTTTGGGTCTATGGTAAAGGGAAAAACTCTATCATATCATTTAAGCTAATTTAAAAAAAAAATAAAATCATACGTAACAAATACTTCAAATGCAAATAATTATTTTATTCATTTACTTTTGTATATGTATTAAATATACATTTTTGCTAGCATGAACAAAGTTTTCTAAAAGCGCACAATATTAACATATATTAAATGGCTCTGATGAACTTAGCAAGTGCTCAGATAAGGTAAATTCTTTAAGAATTGATAACAAAAGTGTGCCAAATATAATATGAATATATTTGTTTAGAAGAAGGCGCCATTGGAAGTACATAATTAATCGCCAAAATGTACAATTTAAATATAAAACAATTTCGAAATATTTATGGAATGCAAATTTTATCAACATGAAACGATGTTATTAGCTCCTAGCGCATTATTTGCGTAATTTAAGCATTTTACAATTTTATCAACTACAAATTGTGTTTAAATTCACAAGAGCAGTGCAAGCAATTAACAAAAGTAATTGAATAAATAAGTTCCAACAATCGTTGGTTAAAACTGCATTTCAAAGTTACAACAAATAAATATTTATTTTTACTACACGGTCTATTACGATCCAGATGCTAACATAAATAAAATAAAAAACAATCTACCTCACGCTCTTAAAAAGAAAACTCTAAAAGGAGCTTTAATGCTCTTGCTCCAACTTTTCTAAGAACTTTCATATAACAACACGTTCTAGAACTTTCCAACACTGCATCAAACGAATTACTGTCACAGCATATGCCTAATAACGGTTAACAGCTAACGGTTAATTCACCTTGCACTCAACGCCTGGCGATAGATCTCCAACATGACAGCCTCGTGTAGCATCATTTTTGTGAATAATTTAGTTTTGTTGTCTCTGCCTTTAAATACTGTTATTAAGTTCGCACATCGATTGGCGAATTGTTGTTGTTGTTGTTGTTATTGTTATTATTTGTTGTTTGTTGTTTGTTGGTCACACTTTGAGGCGAACGCGAACGCACTTAACTAAGCCAAATACACGAGTTCGAATACAAATACAAGCACAAATCAAATGTATTTCATTTTATTTTCGTTCCACGTTTGAATTCTTGAGAGCGGCGTCTGCTACGTATACTTTGTATGTGTGTGTGTGTGTGTGTGTGTGTGTGTTTGTGTGCGTGTTTGTGTGTGTGAACGTGTCAGTTTCGTGTTGAGCTTCTATCAAAAACACACACGTCAAATAAATCAAATGTCACAATGGGCGAAGGGGACGAAACACGGCGCCTTCCCGCCTGCTTCTGCCTGATGACGAACTCTCGCTAACTCAATGTGCCTATGTGTATGTGTACGTATGTGTGTGTGTGTGTGTGTGTGTGTTGCATGCGTCGTCGTCGCTGCGGTCAACTGCCGCCAATTTTCAAGGCACTAGCAGAAGGCAGCGCTTTCTCTTCCTCCTCCTGGCAAATACCAACAACACTCACGCACAACAGCTGTGCCGCTGCGTGTGTGTGTGTGTGTGTGTGTGTGTGTGTGTGTGTGCGTGGGGCTATTAATTTAATGATTTACTGACGCTTGCCACAAAATTTATTATTATTATTTTGCTGCTGCTGGCGCTGTTTTTTCTGCTTCTTCCGCTGTTGCTTTGTGAATTTTTGTTTGGGCGACTAGAAAAACGCGCGCGACTTGCGAAACGGTTATAATGTGTTTGCTGAATCGGTTTAAAACGTCAGCTGTAACGTTAACCGTTCTCCGTTAACCGGACCAGTCGAGTTATTAGCGTCGACTGATTGACACGCGCCACGCACTGCAATTGTATTGGTAGCCCGCTGTCGGCAGCGACGTCGCTGCATTTGACAATAACGTTACTGCGCTGCTGCTGCTGTTGCTGCGGTTGTCGCTGTTGAATTTCTAGCGAAAAATTCAACAATGAAAATGTGCGACATGATTTCGTTCAGCGCTGCCGTTGTCGACTAAAACATCTTTTTGACACTGACAACGTTGAGAGCTGACAGCAACGGCAATAGCAGCGCCGCAGCAGCAGCGGCAGTGGCGACGTCGCAGCGAGAGCGAAAGAAACGCGCGCGCGAGGGCTATCAAAATGAATTGTGGCGTGCACAAGCGAGAGAGAGCCGACGACGTTTTCCCCATTAAATTGATATATGCCGGCAGCAGACAGAAAGAGAGCGTTACGTGCTCAGAGAGTAACTCTGCTGCTTCTGCTGCTGCTGCTACTGCTGCTGACTGAGTTAAGTCTGCGCATGCGGCTTCGTCGCCAGCTGGCAGCGGCTGCAGTTTTGTTTTGATTTATAGCCGCTGCTTTACTACTTTGGCTTGGAATGAGGAGAAAGCTTGAGCGAAACGCATGAATCGAAATGGAAACAAATGGGCAGCGGAACAACAGCAACTGCAATGGCCGTGAGAGCACTTGTGCAAAAGAGCTCCACACAGACACAGAGAGAGGGAGAGAGACCGAACAGCGCTGTGCAGTGGCGACAATGTGCAGTGTGACAGGTGTTTGTGTGTGGGGGCCGGTCTGGCCCGCCGTCTCTCTCTCTCTCTCGCTCTCTCTATCTCTCTCAAGCGCTCTTTGTATTTGCATTGCAGCTGGTCAAACGACTGTGGGGGTGGGAGCCGCCTGTGCGTTGGCGTCGCTGCCGACGCCGCAGCCGCTTAAATCAAGGTTATTTATTGAAATTGAAAATGAAGCATCGCAGCGGGCAGACGGAGGAAATGAGCGCTTCGCTGCTGCTGCTCTGCTCTGCTCTGCTGTGCTGCTGCTGCATTCTGTTTTGTGGGCTCTGCATCAAAACAAAAATTTGAAGAGCTGCGTGTGTATAACTTTTAACTCTTTCTTTTTTTTTGTTTGCTTCTGTTACAAATGCAAAATAAAATGCTAAATCAAGTCGTTTATCGCTGCCCAGACAAACCTCCCACTCCCCACTCCCACCACACCACTTAGCGGCGGCAGCGAAAAAGCAGCAACAGCAGCCCAATTGTTGAATGCGCTGCGCTGCTTTTGGCGACCGCAAAAGCTGAGCTGAGGCTGAGCTGAGGTTATAACGTGCTGCGTAAGGAACAGTGGAATGGGTAGGCGGGCAGCCTCTTGCGCACGTGACAATCTGCTTTGCCTTTGCTCGGCCGGCAATTATGAGTGTTTCGGAAATGGAACATGATTTGCAACATTTGCCTAATGCACAAAACAAGTTTTATTAAATGTTGAGGTTAATTCAATTGTTTCTATTCCGAATATTTCAGGTTATGTTCCGTCAACTTTTCATCCTTTTTGCTTTTCCGTAATTATTTTCCGATACTTGTGCGCAGGCAACCATTACGCATCTTTATTACGTTCTGTTTCTTGTTCGGCGTTTCTAAGAAAAGTTCTTTGTTTTTTGATTTTCTTTACTATTTCCAGTTATCTGTCGCTTACTACTCATATTTCCAGTTTCAGCTCGGATTTCAGCTTGGTTTTCCTGTATATCAAGCATACGCATCGTTGCATTTCCTGCTATATTAAGTGAGGTTATGTTAGTTATAAAAAAGAATTTCGTAATATTTGACTGAAATTTAAACATAATTATGGAATAAATAAAATTTAATTTAAAATTAAATGACTCTGTAAAGCTGTATATAAATCAGTATAGAATAGTTATATTTAATGAAATTTAATGATTCCTTAGCTGATAAAACTCAACTCTGTTTTAAGCTATATTAAAGCTCCTCCATTCATAGAGAAGAGCTGTGGGCTGAGTGCTCCCCTTGACTCTACCATTATATGTTCAAATATCTGAAATCGGATTGACAGGTCCTCGAATATCGCGGCACCTGACAATTGCGGCCAAAATGCAACGCCAACTGCTGTCACACGTCAAAAGTTGGATTCGCTATTTTTTATTTGTGGGCTAGAAATGTGACATAACGGAATGTTACCATGCCTACCCCACCTCTCTTTCATCTCGTGGCACATTGTAACATGATTTCAATTGCACAATGCAATTTTTTTTTTTATTTTTACTTTGATGAGCAAAGAAAGAGAATATCTGGCGTGTGCAGCTCTGTGAACAACAATATACAAATTTATAAATGTTTGTAGGCTCCGAATATGGCCTGACGATGTTTACTTAGATGCCCAAAAAATAATTAATTAAATAATAAAAAAGAATATGTGATAATAGGATCATAGCACACTTGATGTTCCATTCCACACATTTGAGGTTATGTAACAAGCTCGTTGAGCATTCAAATTTGAGTGTTGCTTAATTATTAAGTGCGAAATTGTTATTTCTTGACAGACCAAAGTGAGTTGAAAATTGTTCTTTACCAAACGTTACAATTATTGGGAGATTGGCTTAAATTATGAATCGCTTTTGGGTTTGAATTTCAAATCGGTTTTCAATTTTATAGCGTACAAACTCTGTCTCTTTCTCTTTTTTTTATATATGTAAATCTCTTTTTTTAATAAATTTTATTTGTTTTGCCAAGAATCGGTCAGCAATTTTGGCTATAGCGGGCAAAGTGAAGTGGACGAGGCAAAACTTAATTTCAAATCAAATTAGTTTTGAGATTCGTCTTAAGAGTAAGCCATAACTTTTATTTGAAATAAGTAAGTGCATGGATTGGGGTAATTCAATTAATATTAAAAGTTTCTGTGGAAACAAAATGGAGGTGAAACACAAAATGATTTGAGGTTAAGGTTGACAGCAAATTAATGTGAACAACTCTGTTTAAAGACTAGAACTGAGCTTTCATGTTTTAAAAAGTAAATAATGAATAATTATATTTTCGATATGAACTTGTGATGAATTGCACTTCATTTTTGCACAGTGTTGAGCATTCAACACCTTGTTCTGTTTCACCCTTGGTCCTTCGCCTTGGACAGGGTTGTCGCTCTGCTGTCACTCAGCTGATGACCGAACCGGTTAGCATTTATTTAGCTCGCCCACAACGCAGCGTCAACAAACTGCCGGCAGCATCGCATCTTGGAGGCAGGTTGCAGCAATTGCGTTGCAGCAGCTGCCAATTCGATGCCACAGATGTCATGTTGCGCGTCCGCTGCTATTGCAACAAGCCGTGGCAACAGCCCAGCCGGCACCCAATTTCAATTCCAATTCCATGCTACCCATTCCTAGGTAATAAAACAAAAAAAATAAAGTTGCACTTGCCGCATGTTGCCGTTGTTTTTGTTGCTGTTGCTGTTGCTGTTGTTTAGGCGGCGGTTAACGTCAAAAATCGAATTGACACACGATTTTATCACACGCTGTCCCACTCCGCTCCGCTCCACCCCATTCCGTTCCGTCCCGTTCCCTTTGATTCCGTCTCGTGTCCATCTGTCAAACGGCTGAAAATTGCTGCATGCAATTTTCTGACACCTTTGCGGTGACGGGCGCGTCAGACGCTGATGCTGACGCCGTCGCGTCGACTGCGACGCGGCGTCATAAAATCTGTAAATGCTTGGCGCCAGCCATGCCTCTGGCCCTCTGGCCGGCCCCAACCCCTCCCCCTTGCACGTTACGAAAAATGCGTCAAAAACATTTGTTTTGCGAGCAACTTTTTGTTGTTGGCGTTAAATTTAGACCGTGCTGCAGATACATTTGCAACTCATAGCTGCAGCTACATTGTAGCAACAACAACTTTATATTTGAATGGCATTTCTGAACAACCCCTCACCCCTCTCTCAGCCATAACCCAAACCATCCCGCATCGAACAATTAAGCCCAGCCCGCCTGCTAAATTACATTTACACACATCGGATATTTGAAAAAAAAAAAAAAAACGTTTAAATAAAATCTATATCCATATGCAACATTTTCTATATTTTCTACCAAAAACATTTGTGCAAATGTTTATGAGTTGTGGTAAAGCGTCTGTCAGTATTTTTTGGCAACATTTTCATCAGTGCCGCGGGTTGTTTATTTTTCTGTACGCAGCTTCCAATTAATTTACTACAAGACGCAACTGAAAAGGACGCACAATCAAAAGAGGGGCATTTTGTGGAAATCTGAATTTGGGCTAGGATGAGATCTTTGGTTTTATGCTTTAGGTTTTATAGGCGTAGGATGGGATTAAACAATTGGCATTAGAGGTAGATTCGGTTCTCGAAAGAGTTTTTGGAAGAACAGCAGAGTAAAGATTAGAGCTCGAAGACCAGGTATGAGATACTCTGCCGTGTTCTAAGCAAAAATGCAGGCTGCATTGGCATAACCTTAATTGAAACGTAACCTTATTCTTTCACATATCCACACTCTTCTCATTCTTTTCAGTTCATAACAATATAGTCCATAAAACTTCTGAGTCTTATTTACCACTAACAAATTCAATGTTAAACTTTGATTTTTGGTCTTGGAAAGGATGAAGTTACAAATATTCAAGAGTTTTTCTAGCTAGTAAAACGAAAAATTAAATATCTAATGGCAGGCCAAACTACCCTTTGTAGTCAAACCCATTCCGGACACTGCATTTGGCATCTGTCTCTTTATATTAGATTTAAGGGAAACCTTAATTCTGGCACTCTTTGCACTTTTAACAGTTCATTTATTGGTTTATCTACATTCTGGATCGATATGTAGACAAACTCCTATCAAGCCATTCATATTGTTGGCCACAACTTATAGTCACATTATGGAAAGCTTAGCAAACATTTGCCGCATTCATCAAGCGGCAAAGGACCAAGCGGCACTCCTTACACATGCCACACCCACCGCCCAGTCACTCATACACTCACGCTCGGTTCGCTGGCGCACACTGAGAGCCATGGCCACAGCCAGACAAAAACACAACTCAAAATACAATTCATCTGCATAAACATTTGTGGAGCAATTGAAAAACAAACACAAGCCACCAGCAACAACAACAACAACAACATGGGGACAAATATCCCAAAAACAGTGTTGAAAATTCATGTGAGTGATGCGAGTGGATGAATTGCCGCACACTAAACACCCCTCACCTTGCCTCCCCCTGCAGCGCACAAATTAACAGGCAGTCAGCATAGACAGAGGACAGCAGCAACAACACAGGCAAGATGCGCCTGCTGAAGGCGCTCGACTAGCAGACACCCTGCATCCCGTTATATTTTCCGTAAGCATATTTAACAGAATTTGGAAATCGATATTTATCGAAAAATAATCGAAAATTTAATTATCAACTTCTCAGCAGACACATTTCGTCAGGCTATTATTGTTGATTAACATTTTATAAACTCCTTGTAAATGGAAATGTCTTTACAACCGAAGCATATCCTGTCAGAGAATTTTTAATGCGTACAGGGTATAATAAGGAAGAGCATGACGAGCAACAGCATGTGAATGAGAACTGACGTCTATGAAGAAGCATTCATCAGGCCAAAATATCACGGAATCACCAAAGACTCGCAACATGGCTTGGCTTGATGGGTGAGGCGGGGGGTGAGTGAGTGAGAGGGTGAATGGGGCGTGTTGGGTGCCGTCCACAGGCTAAAGATAGTTGCGGCGCCGTTAACTGTGCCAGGGACACAGTGCCAGATCCTGAGTCGAGTAGCTTTTCAGGTGGGGGTGGGGGATGGGCGAATTTTGAATGGTTCGTTTCGCGTTGCTTCAATTGTGATGAAATTCAAATGGAAGCGTTGTGGCAAGCAGACAGCTGTTAGCTGGTCACAGGCAGTCGCATAACGGGAGAAGCGTTCGTAAAACGGTCGGTGAAGGGGGGCGGAGGGGGTGGATGATGTTGGTAACGAGCCCAAACAAAACACTAAACTCTAAAACTGAATGAATGAGTGTCAAGTGTGATATATCACCGCAAAAACAAGACCATAAGCATGAGTGATAAACGCTGTTGAGCTCGCTTGGCGCAATGCAACAACAACACACGCACTCAGACACACACACATACACACACACACATACACATATGTGCATGTGAGTGTGTGTGTGCGTCTGCAGTCATAGACATGTCAACATGTTGATGATGGTAACTAACTAGAGCAGCGCGATAAAACCACGACGAAGGGGTCGCTGAGCGGGCAGGACGGACGGAGGGGGCGCTGCTAGGATGTGGCATGTGTGGATGGACTGCTGCGAATGTGGTGGCATGCAGCGGAGCTTTGGAGTCGCAGGCATCAGACCGAGCAAGCTCTAAACACATTCAAAGTGGCGCACAGTGGTTGCAAATGCATTTGTAAATAGATAGAAGCTAAGCTGAGCGGTTCATTCGACGAGATTAAAAACTAATGTGCACTATTAGAGCACTAATAGGCCTTATATTAAATTGAATTATCTTAGAACTAAATACTCTATATATACTTTATATATATAGACAGTGCTGTGTGGTGCACATACATTCGAGTTCAAAGGCAGCATTCAAGTTCATTTTGTAACGTTAGTTAATTCAATTGAAATATTCCTTTTATATTCACACGATTCCCTTATAAGATTTTTTTGTCGCGCTATGAAATGCAGCGTAATGAACTAACTTATATTATGGTAATATTAAATAAATAATATTTAATTTTTTTAATTTTCTAAAACTTGGTAAACGTGTCATGCCCTTCTCTCTAGAATTGCTGTGATTAAATGGTTTACAAGTTTTGCTTTAACAACACTGGAAATTTAATGTTCGCTTGTTGACAAACACTCTGGCAACACTGTGCCACAGCGCAATGCTTTCAAATGCTTGCAACATACTGCGGCAATCACGTGTGATGAACTGTAGAGGCACACAGGATTAGGAGTTCCCGGAGGCAGGGTGAGGACTTAACGCGCTGTGGCCGCTGTTGTGTGTTTTGTATTCGTTTTTGTTGTTGTTGTTGTTGCTGCTGTTGTTATTGTTGTTGGCAAAAAGGCGTCAAGGCGTTTAAGCCGAAAACAAAAACTGGCAACTAGGAATTCATTGGCCAAAAACAATGCAATTAATTTCACTTACCCGTCGCCGTTGCCTCTGTGAATGATGATGCCATCGCTGCTGCTGTTGCTGTTTCTGCTGTAGTTGTATGTTGCTGATGGTGCGACAGCAACAACTGCCTGTTGTTGTTGCTGTTGCTGATCCAGTGACTCCAGCTTCAGCATGTGGCGGAAGTGTCAACGAGCGGCTTTCACTGAGCGGCTGTTGCCGGTGATGAATTTCATAGTTGTTGATTTTATGATTGCCGTTGCTTGTTGTTGTTGTTGTTGTTGCCTCTATTGCTGTTGTTTGTTGCTGCTAACATTTCAGTTGT